GCCGCGCGGGATGGCGGGCGAGGGCAGCGTCGGGCCGTCGGAGGCCGGCGAGGTGGGAGAGTCGGGGGCCACCGTGCCGTTGCTGTGCTCGCTGCGCAGGGACGAGAGCGACGTGCGCAGCGGCGAGCGCACCACCACGGCCATCCCGTAGGGCACGCTCTGGCGCACGCCATAGCCGTGGCGCATGCCGTTGGTGAACTGGCCTTGGTACGTCCCTGCGGGCGAGGAGAGGGCGCGTCAGTGAGGCGGCTGGACGGGGCGCCCGCGGGTGCATGGTGACCTGGATGTGCAAGGGCAGGAGGGACCAAGGCGGGGTAGGGCTGAGACAGGGAGCATCCGGCCACTTCTCACCACTCCCATTGGACTAGGTGGTGGTCTGAGCCACCATTCTTTGTCCCCTGGATTTTCATAATCACAGCCACACTGGTCTCATGCTTCCACCTAGGCCCCATCACAGGGATTCTGTAGAAATGCAGTAAGTCACATCAGGACACTGCTCTGCCCCTTCCTACTCAGAGGAAGAGCTGAGGTCCTTAGTGACCCACGAGACCCTACCTGATCTCTTCCCCATCACTCCTATATTCTCACCTCCTCCCATGCTCCCTTTTCCCTCACTCCATGCTAGCCACCAAGGCCTCTTCGCAGTTCCTCCCACACACTAGCCATGGCCCTGTCTCAGGACCTTTGCATTGGCTGTCCGTCTTCCTGGAATGGTCTTCCTCCAGCATGGCTCACTCCCTCTCCCTCTTCAAGCTTTTGCTTAAATGTAATCGCCTCAGTGAAGCCACCCCTGACCACACTATTTACAATTATAACTCTCCACCCAAGGTTTTATATCTCCCTTTTTTACCTTATTTTAACTCATAGCATATCTCATAGAACATATATTTTGCTTTTTCTTTTGTTTATTAACCATCTCCCTCATTGACATATGCACTCCATAAAGGCAGGGAATCCTTTTTTGTTCACTGCAGTGCCAGTAGGCACTGGATAAATATTTGTTGAATGAATGAATGAATGAACAGCATGAATGCTATAACCATTTATTCTCTTCCTTCTGCTTTATCCATCTGAAAACAGCTCTGTGGAAATGACTGGAGAGGTTTTCGATGGTTTGTATTTTACAGATAAAAAAAAAACTAAGGTCCAACAAGGACAAAGGACTCACCCAAGATGACATAGCTAATACATATGGCACAGTCAAAACTCACATCTGGGGCTGCCTGAGGCTCACTCGGGAGAGTGTGGTGCTAATAACACCAAGGCCATGGGTTCGGATCCCATATAGGGATGGCCGGTTAG